GACCCTCCAGTGATGCAACGTCCCACCTTTAGAAGCGCACACACGCAACGGACGCCAAAATTCAGCCTCCACCCAACAGCCCTCCAGATGCAACAAATTATTCCTCAATGAGAATCCACTGGCCTGAGCTTTCTGTCAAAACACGTCACCTAACTGACAAAAACCCACTTCTGTTTTACTAGATTCAGTTCTGTAGCCGCCTTCTCCATTAAAGGGATACTTCACCAAATATATACAGGAAAAATATAGCCATATATATGGCTTTCTTTCATGGAACACAAGGAGGCATTTTAAAGAATATGTATGCTGCTCTTAACTATAAAATACAAGCATACAGTGACAAAGGACTGCAACACACTGTAGTTGATTTATATCAGAATTATCTTGTTCTCAGCATTATCTAGTTCTTAATGAAAATCGTCATTAAAATACTGAATGATTTTGCTATTATTAAAAAACACAGCATTACATAGATCAACCATTTAAAATAATGTAAAATATACAGATTGCTAATCTAACATCTCATACTGTAAACATGTTATTCTGTGACAAATTATTGATCAACAGGGCTCGCAAAATCGCTAGCCCGACGTCCCGGGGCTATTGTGTTTTCCAGTCGGGCTACCAAAATGTATCACTGCCCTGCCCGATGGGCTATCTTGAATAGTGATATAAAATCCCTTCCTTAATTCGCATTGTTCACTCGCTTGTAGGGGTGAAACGGATCATAGTTTGCACGTGTTTCTAAGTCTTACCAATTTAAACATTCAAGCGTTTTAAACCATTCATGCGCATGAACAATTCAGTTTGGTGCACATACACACATACAAGAGCGGCGTTTCAGAAAGAGCATGAACACAGAATTGATTCCTCTTTTGCTTGAATGGACACAAAATTATCTAATTATCTCAAAATAACTATCTCGACAAGTATTTTCCATGTCTTAAATGAACGTAAACAGTGGAGAAAGAAATCGCACATGCATCATTATATTGGCTCTGTGCATTCGGTCTTAAAGGGGCAGCAGCCTATAAATACCTGCTGTTCTTAAGCACCACCTGCTGTCAGAGAGTGATATTTGCGTCTCATTCAGCCCGTCTGCTGTTTTTGTTTCGTTCAGATTTTTTAAGTAGTATCACAAAGCTAAAGTCAGATCATTTTGTTTTTCATTTCAAATTTCAAAATTTTACAATCTAAATAACATGTATGCAGCATTTTTTTTGGATCGTGATTAAAATACACAGGCAAAACCTTAGTTTACTTGCATGGAGAAATTTATTTTATTTGTATTATTTATTTGATTTGGGATTTGTTTTAAACATTTCAAGTTAGTATATTGTTTTGACATTTTCAATTTCACAAAGTAATGTGCAGCCTTTTGGTCTGAGAAATAACAAAAGGACACCTTTTTTAAAAAATCTGTCTTGAAATCTCATTTTGTTAAAAAATCAATTGTGAGAAAATTGTATTGTGAAATCAGTATCGTGAATCATATCACATCGTGAGTTGAGTGAATCGTTACATCCCTATATGCTACTAGTTTTTACTGTGGTATCAAAGTAGTAAATTGTTCTTTAAAAAATAAATATTACTTAAATAATAAATAACCCTATTTTTTTGCTCATCTGAAAAATAATCTGACCTGTGACTCAAAATGTGATATGATAATGGAATATAATCCGAACCGTGAGATTTGTGATCCATTGCACCCCTACTCTCTTGACTTGTTATTTGAAGAAAAAATACAATATATTTTATTCGGGCTAGTTAAATTCATTTTCGGGCTACCAAAATCTGAAGGGCTACCAGGGATTTTGAAATTTTGCACACCCTGATCAATGTAAGTTGTTTGTTATTCAAGATATAAGCCATAATTTTCAAATCTCACATGCAAGGCGCATATTTTATATTGCCTTATTGCGATTGGTTGTGAGATGCAAGGAACCAATGGCATTTTGGCATCACTAATGTTAAACTTTTTGTTTTCACAAACAAAGTGAATATGGACAAATCTTAATTATCTTTGGAAGTGGCGGGAGAAAGCAAGATGTTTACTGAATAACAACTCAATATGACACAATGCTGGGGCATTTTGGAACTTTTTAATATGTTTTTGGAGTTTAAAAACATTGTTCATGCTGCACTGTTCCAGACATTCTGCCCCAATATCTCCTTTCACCTGTTTCTTATGTAAATCACAGCGAACATAACATACATAGTTTCTTCTTAATTTAACAATGGCTAACGAATTAACGAATGAAGCATGTTGATGGGCGTACTCCTGCTCTCGCTCTGGTTGGTGCGTGTGTGCAAGTGCCCATACAAGGAATTCCACCCTTTATGACATCATACAGGGACATCCTCAAAAAAAAAAACTTTTCCAAACTTGTACGAACCCTGAAGGAGTGTCTTTGGCACAGAAATACTCCATCATCCAACTAGTTTTTTGAGAATTTGGTCATGTTTAACATGAGAATCCAACTGTGTAAATTAGTCAGAATTCAGATTTTCAATGCATGAAATAGCAACTCTTTAATGTTCACTAAACCTAGCAACAAACTGCTCCTACGTCAAATGTGACCCTGGACCACAAAACCAGTCATATGGGTAAATTTCTCGAAATTGAGATGTATACATCACCTGAAAGCTGAATAAATAAGCTTTCCTTTGATGTATGGTTTGTTAGGATAGGACAATATTTGGCCGATATACAACTATTTGAATATCTGGAATCTGAAGGTGCAAAAAAATCAAAATACTGAGAAAATACTTAGAAAAATATCAGGCAATCCATCTCATGAACACTTAACAATAACTGTGGAACACACACTATCTATACACTCATACATTTAGTTATCTAACACTCATACTCAGTCTACACCTCAAATTAAGTTGTCCAAATGAAGTTCTTAGCAATGCATATTACTAATCAAAAATTAGGTTTTGATATATTTATGGTAGGAAATGTATAAAATATCTTCATGGAACATGATCTTTACTTTTGGCATAAACTAAAAATCGATAATTTTGACCCATACAATGTTTTTTTGGCTATTGCTAAAAATATACCCCAGCGACTTAAGACTGGTTTTGTGGTCCAGGGTCACAAATATATATCAGTTTTACTAAAGGTGGCTCCTTTTTATATATAAATGAGTCAGTCACACAAAAGTGCAGATGGCAAACAGGGGAAACTGTGCATGAGTCAGCGGGGGTCAAATATTTGAGCCAAACACAGACCAAATGTTGACTGACCTTGTGCAAAATTGGTTCACAAAGCAGACAAATTGTCTTGCATTCAAATGCAGGTATTTGATGACTAAAAATGAAAATGGCAGGTTATGTTCAGGTAATGGTCACATTGCCCCCCACAGTCCACCACAGCAGTGCACAGAATGCTTTGCGGTCATTTGGTCAGGGATGTGTGAGTAAGTGAACAAACTACAGTAAAAATACAAAGTATTCACCCCTTGGACTTTTTCATGTTTTACATCACAGTGGGGTCTGATCATTTGTAATCTGCTGTGCCTGCCTATTTGTATTCAAACATCATCCTATGATAAAGTCCAAGTCACTTTAGTGAAGCACTGAGATGTGGACTGCAGGAAAATAAATAAATACAATGCAAATGAAAGCATGAACATAAACTCACCCTACTCATGAGGATTCAATCTGCAACCCTGCAACATCTGCATATGGGACTAATCCATCTCACACACACGTGCTTTTACACTCCACCCTCAATGAATTAATCTCTGCTGCCTTTGACCTGTCCATGCATGCGCATTTGTCTCAAAAACTTTTCACTGCTTTAAGAACATTAATTATCATACTGTGACATGTTGGAGATGTATTTCCTAATGGAGTGAAAAAAGCTATTCAAGGACCTGCACCTTTCACAGACCTTATCGGTTGAAATCAGCAACTGCTGATTAGGCAGATCAAAGTCCGCTTTTGTTGACTTCAGCACTTCCCTCCACGCTTGTAACACTCCAAAGAGAAAGAAAAACTTGAAATCGCATCATATGACCCCTTTAATGTCATTTTTTTATTACTTGTACATTATTGTTTTCTATTCGTCACAGTTCTGTATTGATTTCTTCATCTATTTACTCATTTATTTTAATCTATTTTTTTATAATTCATTCATTTACTTACTCCTTTATTATATAACCTATTGATTTTCGGTATTTATTCATTTTTTTAACAATTCTTCTGTAAACATTTTTATTGACCCCCAGCATTCTTTTGCAGCCCCCTGCAGCCCCCCTTGGACCCCAGTTTAAAAACCCCTGGTCTAAATGTAAAGATCAGTGGCCTAATAGACTAACATCATGCCTTGCCAAGGGAATTGATCAAACCCTATGAAAAAAGTCTGTGGCATGTTTTCAACACAAAGTAATGCCTTACTTACTAATGTACTCTCTCCAAATAAGTGGGCGTTACAATATAAACACTGAAGGAAATACCACACACCAATGTTATCTCGGTTCCTTAAAAGCAAAACAATCATTTAAAGTATTTTTTTGCTCTTTAAAGAGAAAAAACTGCTTTATTTGAGCATAAACCTTGTGAACAGTGAAGCATCGCTGACATTAATGCAAAAGTACCAAACCAGCGATGCATTTCAAAGCTAAAATATGATATTCACATGAGCCAGTTTAATTTTTAAACACTTCACTTCCATAAAATCTCGATCTTCATAAGAAAAAGGGAGATATGAACAGCGAATCGTAAATGCTTGTAGTCTAGCATTTAGCTTAGCCAGACAGCAAATACGACACAGAGGAGCACACAACACAACAAATATTGACGCTTCTAAACCTATACACGATAAAACATGTGTCTACATATTGAAGATACTCTATACTGTAAAGTGAAACTAAAAAGCGCCGTAAAGTGCCTAATTAGCTTCGTTAGACAGAGCTAGGCTCATTTAACCGCATAGTCCCTGCTAATGCTTCTTCGGAGTATGGAATACATAAAAGTAGATTTCTTACCTTGAAAAGCTGATTTTCCAAATGAAACCCACACTCCGTGCTTGTTTGGTTTACACAGACCTAAGAAACATTCAGAGTTTGGTGGCTGTGGCGGGTGAGAGTCCGTCACACTGTGGCCGTTAGCGGCTAGGCGCTAACACACCTGATCATCACTTACACACTGAACTACACTGACTGATGGGCCGCGAACACAAGACCACTGGTTCACAAGTCAACTCAGTCCCTTACAATGATTGAGCAGAGAGGACATAGAGAGTTTGTGTTTGCAGACAGTAGATCATGATGTAGTAGGTAGGTAGGTGTAGAGAGAGAGAGTATGGCAAGCCGTTTTAACATTTAATCTGTAAGCCGTACTAGTATCTATTTTCATGGTACTAGTATCTATTTTTTAGATACTAGTATCTTTTCCATTAAGTACTAGTACTTATTCATTAGGTACTAGTGCTTATTCTTTAGCTACTAGTGCTTATTCTTTAGGTACTAGTGTTTATTCTTTAGGTACTAGTGTCTAAATATATATATATATATATATATATATATATATATATATATATATATATATATATATATATATATTCACTATTGAATGATACTAATGAATAATTCACTACTTATTCACTACTTAGCACCATACTATTCTATTGTTATTTGTTATTGTTATGTCGTGTATTGTATGATTTTACAATCATGCCAATAAAGTACTTTTTCAACTGAAATTGAAAACGGCCTAGAGAGTCCTAGACATTGTCACAATAAAAAAAATATTATTTTTGAAAAAAAATAATAATAATGTTTTGTTGTATTGTTAGAATTCTAAAACGAGAGTGATGAGTTTGTGAGTGCTGAGTCAAACAAAACAAAATTAAACATTTTATCAAAACTAGTAACAATGGATATTTGGACGACACTGGGAAAACGAAAGTTAAAGTTAAAGTAAAGGCTAACTGCGAATTTAAAAAGGCACAGACTACCATAGCAATAATACTTCAAAACACAATCATTCCACATTTTCACGTGTAGAAAATATATACATGGATAGATGGTCTTGTTTGATATATACTGCACCGTAATAAATACCGAATATAATCAATTTAAAATAAAAAATAAGCCATTCTTTAACAACAACAACAACAAAACGTTCATAGGACCGTACTGATGACATGCATAACTGGTAACAATTCTGTAACCATATTAATAATCATGTTCTCGTTTTATTGCACAAATAATGCCTTTCTTTTGTGTTTTTGTGTAAC